CTTAACTATTCCTTTAATAGTTATAATCTGGCCTATATTGTTTTGCAATAATGAACAGCTAAGAAAAGAAATCCACTTTTGTTAACAAAAGAAATCCACTACAGTGTACAAAACAATCAGCCTAGCAACAAGACACAAGTCTGACTCTATAATCAGTGTTGCCATGGACGATGAATATTATCAATTGGTATTGAATGTTCCAGAGCACCGTCTAATAGATGGTGTTAATCATTACCGGTCTTGATTATTAACTACTCCTGAGAGACATTCAGGTAATCAGGCCTGAAAGTGTCCGTCTGCTGCTCCCTCTCTGTCCAGATTAATCCTTTACCTTCATCAAATCTTTCAGAGAGTTTGACTCTTCATGTCCTATTCCTTTCCTTCACCCTTCTAAGTTCTTCTGAAACTTTAATGTCAGAAGTATTTTTACACCAGCAGTCTGTCAGCGTTATTAGTCTCCTCAGCTTTTAGACACTGTGAGAGAATAGCTGCATGGAGAAAACTGTCATTTCTGAAACTCAGATGTGAAAAGATGAAAAGAGTAACATGATGTAGTCTGGATAGTCTCTCAAGAATGAACTTCTGCACCTGTTTTAATAAAGGTGTAAAGATATGAAATAGCATGACATGAGTTTCTCTAGTTATTTAGGTCTGTGTGTTTACGCACCTGCATGGTCAATTACCACATATAGGAGGTTATTTCTTCCTTTTTGATAATCTAACACATGCGATTTGTTTTTATTATAATTTTTTTTCCATAAATACAAATGCATAGACATCCATCTTCCTCCCCCACCTTCTCTCAATACTTCAACTGTTTACTTTAGTCTTCTATCTTTCATTCTCACCTTTTAGCTCTCTGCGTCCAGTCAATATGTCACTTTTGCAGTGAAACCTGAAACTCATTCACCATCTGAGCTCTATCCGTGGAGACCTCTTTTGTCACTCCTGTATTTCAATCTTTACCTTTCAACCTTTCTCAGTGTCTTCTCAGCTTTTCTCTCTCTCTCGCTTATTTTCTGCAGAGCAGAGGTGTTAAATGGACATGCTTTTCATTCAAGCAGTCATCACGGAGCCCTGTCCATGGTGCTGAAACCACTCTTTCTTTCTTTCTCTTTCTTTCTTTCTTTCTTTCTTTCTTTATTTCTTTCTTTCCCTTCCCATACCCATTTAAACCCATTATCCCATGTTGTACATGTCCATATACAACCAAAAATAAAAACTAATTTAAGAAGGTTATAAAACCTTTGGAATGTTACTACTTCTTAAAAAAGTCAGTGTGATCTATTTAACCCTTAGGCTTATCAGGTGTATCAAGGTAAGTTATTATTATTATTATTATTATTATTATTATTATTACTACATGTTATGACCTTTTTATGAAAGACAGGGTTAGTTCAGGTCAATATTCCTGATTCTTGACCTGATTTTTTTATTTCTAACATTTGAAAAATAATGATGAGCATGTGTCAAGTGTATTCAATCTGCTTAGGCAGTTTTTTTAGTTCATGATTAATGGTAACAATTAACACTTGACATTTTAAGAGGCGTTTAATCAATGTGTTTGCTTAGCAAAGTATTAAAGGGTTAGTTCACCCAAAAATGAAAATTAGGCTGCGTTTTACTCTCAAGCTGTTTAATGCCACTCAGCAGGTGTTGCATTGCTTCAGTCCAAAAGAACTTAAATAAAAATCGCTATTCAAAACATAATAATCACTTGAATCTAGTTTGCGCTCACTGTTGTAAACAGAAGCAGTTCCGGGCGGATGACATATGAGGTCAGCTTTGCGCATGCGCCGCTCAGAAGTGACGAACGCGGAAACGCAGCGGAGAGACCAAAACAAAACAATTAGAAGTACAAAACGAGGATTTGTAAAGAAGAATGTCAGAGGATTTTGATATAAGCCAAGAGGAGACTGGTTTTCCTTTGCTAAAGTAAGGAAACTTTGCTTCCTTTGCTCCTGTTAACAAACGTTGGTTTTCATGAGACTCACCGGCACATGCGCAGCGCTGACCTCATATGTCATGCTCCAGGAGCTGCTTCCGTGTACAACAGTGAGCGCAAGCTACATTAAAGTGATTATTACATTTTGAATATGGATATTTTTCTTACAAAAACGCATCGATTTGCTACAGAAGGCCTTTGTTCACCCGTGTGAGTCACTTTTTTTATGGATGGGCGATTTTTATTCAAGTTCTTTTGGATTGAAGCAATGCAACACCCACTGAGTGCCATTAAACAGCTTGAAAGATCAAAGACAATTTTTAATATAACTCCGACTGGATTCGTCTGAAAGAAGAAAGTCATATACACCTAGGATGCCTCGGGGGTGAGTAAAACGCAGCGTAATTTTCATTTTTGGGTGAACTAACCCTTTAATGTTTTTCAAAAAACTAAATATTGTAGATTACATTCCAAAGAACTTGTTTTAAAGATGTTTTAAAGTCGATTTTTTTTTAAGATTTCTCATTTTCATCATTGACCAGTAATAATACTATATTGACCATTAATAATACTACTATTTTTACACTATTTTTCTTTCCTTGTGTTAAGATCTTGATGTGCTTTGGTGGAATTGCCCGAATCATCCATTCCTGTCTGACCTGATGACTCCTCTAATTACTTACTCTGTCAACCAATCACTACGCTTTCAATCACCAGTAAGCCCCACAATGATTATCCTCTCAACCAATCACAGCGAAAGCTCCTAATGGATCATTTTGAGACAAAATGGGCATTTAATGTGTTTCTTTCTCACCATGGATAATGATTAGGGCATCAAAATTTCACCCCATGCAGCAAACAAGGTGACAGAAAGATTGTGTGAATATGAATATGTCACCAGCCTAATGATTGCATCCTGACATTGTCAGATTTTAATGCATTGACTGAATTTATGAATTCCATTTCCATTTTCTGATGGAAACTATTTTCCATTAGTTTGTATGTTGTATGACTCCACAAGAAGTGCGTTGTGTCCATTTGATGATTTGTTACAGAATTTCTCTCTTTGCCAGTGTCAAAATCCAATGGTCATTAAACATTTCTACAGTTGCATACATTTTTAATTAAAGTACAAGATTCTACAGACATTATTAATGAACAAGCTGTTTGGACTTGAGGATGTAATGATTAATTCAGCATAATGCATCCTCTTTAATGGCATGTAATGACCTTTTGTGCATTACATAAAATGTCATAAGAGAGCATTTTATAAAATACTATTAAATACTAAACTTTAAAGTTGTATGTACCAGAGATGTATATGTTTTAAATATTAAACTGAATTCACATGTCTTTGATTCTTCTGTACCAGAGAGACTACTAAACACACTCTGTGTTGCAGCTGAATATAATTTATTCATTTTAACTAGGGATAACAGAGGGTTTTATGATACACAGCTAGAGATGAGAAGTAGGCATGCACATATTGTAATTGTGTATATTTGTGATATTACTAAGTGTGTGACTGATACACACTGTGACCATATAGTCACCAGTAAACAGCTAAAGAATTCAAATCACAGTACTTCCAGCTGGAGTTTTGTGCTTTCTCAAAGAAAGAAGGAAAGAAAAAGACAAACAACAAAAAACAATAATAAAAAACAAATTAAATGTTACTTCTCGTGCTTTCTACTAGTTATGTACCTCCACCTACAGGTGCATCTCAATAAATTAGAATGTCGTGGAAAAGTTCACATACTGTGGAAACTTAACACTGGACTTCAAGCAACTTGGGCTATGAGCTTCTCCACCCTTCCTCCAGACTCTAGGACCTTGGTTTTTTGTTAAATGTGAGCCAAAATCATCACAATTAAAAGAACCAAAGACTTAAACTACTTCAGTCTGTGTGCATTGAAATTATTTAATACACGAGTTTCACAACTTGAGTTGAATTACTGAAATAAATGAACTTTTCCACGACATTCTAATTTATTGAGATGCACCTGTAGTTTTCACACTGCAAAACATTTTATTTTTAACAAGTATTTCTGTTCTAATTTTACAGCTAAAATATCAATAAAGACAATCATTGAAACGATCAAACATTATTTGAGAATAAACAATGCATAAGATACTCAGACTTGTTTTCAAAGAAAATATCTTTAATTTAGATGTATTTTTCCCCAAAAGTTTGGGATCAGTAACATTTTATGTTTTTAAAAGGAGCTTTTTTGTTAACCAAGGGTGCGTTTATTTGAACAAAAATACAGTAAAAACAGTACTATTGTGAAATATTATTTCAATTTAAAACAACTGTTTTCTATTTTAATATATTTTGAAATGTATTTTATTCCTGTTATGATCAAACTGAATCTTCAGCATGATTACTCCGGTCGTCAGTGTCACATGATACTTCAGAAATCATTATAATATGCTGATTTGCTGCTCAAGAAACTGTTATTATTATTATCAATGTTGAAAACAGTTGTGCTGCTCAATATTTGTTACCGCAATTGGTATTGAATGGATACCGCAATACTTATTTTTTTAGGATTCAGATTCAAAAAGTTCACCAGAACAGCATTTATTTGAAATACTTTAGTGAAATAAATCTGCATAGTCACTTTTAATCAATTTAATGCATCAGTGCTAAATAAAAGTATTAATTTCTTACAAAAACAAAACAAAACAAGAAATCTTACTGACACCAAACTTTTAGTATATACAGTATATTATGTGTTTCTTTTAAGTAAATGTATCTTGTTTCAAGAGTTATTATGTTGTTTATTTTGTTTCCAGGATCTTTAGGCATTTAACTTTTTAAAATAAATATTTAGTTTTTCAAGGAATTTTAGACCCTTTACTGTAAAAGAAGTCAAAAATACTAATTAAAAATACATTATTACTTTTGCAGTGCAAGCCAATGCAAATATTCATTCATTGTGCAGTCAGAAAGCTAATTCCTGACATGTTGCTGTTACTCTACAAGAGTCCTTATTTAGTTCCAAACAAAACAATAATTATCCTCTAATCTGGACGTAGTTGTCCGTGCTATTTTTATTGTACATAAACACAGAAAACTGCTCTCAGATTAGGAGAAAGTTTTAAAAGCACTTCTAGGTCAGCGATCTGCATTCATCTTCCTTAATTTGGGAGGCAAGTTGTCCTCTGGACGGCCACCAGGCGTGTGTGGAGGACCGGGGGGGTGTGTGGGGATGGCCGCTGGGGTGGGAGGCAGACTTCTCTGGTGGAGGTCCCCCGTGGACATGGCCATGGGCTGGAAACCCACCTTGAGGGATTTGAGGTGGAATCGTGCCTCTCCATCAACCTGCCCAGGGCTGGAGCCGAGGCGCTGTAGTTTAAGAGGAAGGTCCCCTGTGCTCGAAGCCTTTTCGGATTGCTGCGAACTCAAGCGTAGCACCTTCCTCTGTAGATCTTCTCTACCAGACGAGCTCATTTTCTGGAGTTTGCTGGGCAGCTTGCAAGAAGCGCTTCCGGGATGCGCCCCATCCTCACCTGCTTCCAGGCAGTCCATGGAAAACACTCGTTCCCTGTGCGGCGTGACCAGTGGGGAGGGGAGCGGCGATTTCTCCTCATATTCTTTCACGCTGTAGGGTGGCGTGGGAACCTCAAAAGTGCTGTGAAACTGGGAGTAGTCCACCCGAAAGAAGCCCTCTTCCAGAGACATGACAGGCAGGAAGCGGTGACCCCACAACACCTCATCTTCTGTATACGAGGTACGAGCTTGACATGTCATACCTGTGAGAAACAGCATATAATAAACAAGCATTACAATGGAGAGGAAAGGTTTATGGTAAAAAATGTATTACAAATAAGGAGGCTTTCATTGTCAGGTTAGCCTGGCCATGAGAATGATTTATACTGCCCAGTTACTTTGTCTTCCAAGAATGTGATTTACAGACTCTCAGTACATAATGTGCGTGAGAAGGCCATGCAAGGCAGAGTTTTAAGACTCCTGCAATCATAATTCAGCCAGAGGGCCATTCAGTGAGTCATAAACACAGCCCGAGCCATAGCTTTACACTTTCGCTTATAACAAGGCCAGGAAGACTGAAAATCCAATCTGTTCTACAATAAAATTAAAAACAATCAATAGAGCAATCACTAAACAACTGCCAACAGCTACCTATGGAATGCATAGTGTTTTGTTGTTTTAATTTTCTGCAGAATTGGAATTCTTATTTTCATGGGCACAAACCAGTAAATAAAAAGTGAGCTGGAAAATGTATGCTGTCATGCTGAAGTAGCATTTGTGTCATTACAAACAGAATGGTGTTTAGGGTATATGCTTATATTATGCAATAATTCCAGTCCTCGGATTTAATTGGCTGAGACTGTCAGTCTGTGTAGTGGTGGGGATATTGCAGTGTCTGTGTTTTTGCTGGTTATGTCCATATGCCAGTAGGTTGTTTAGTGTGTGTTATGAGTGTGTCATTGAACTGATTTGTTCAATGAACACTGAAATATTCAGGACCAAAACAAGTGATCATAAGTGAGTCATTAAATAATAATTACACTGATTCACGCTTGAACAAAACTGCTGATTATGAGTGAGTCATTGAATTGTTTACTGAACCAATTCATTTTAAAAATACTGATTAATTAATTAATGAAGCAAGTGATCATAAGTAAGTCATTGAATCATTCACTCAACTGATTTGTTAAAACATCTGATTCATTTATGATCAAAACAAGTGATGAGTGAGTCAGTAAATCATTAATTCAACCGATTTGTTTAAAACACTGATTCATTATAGAACAAAACAAGTGATTATGAGTGAATCATTGAATCATTTACTCAACCATACTATTCAAAACACCGATTCATTCCTGTGCCGAACAAGTGATCATAAGTAAGTCATTGAATCATTCACTCCACTTTTTTTAAATTAAAACCACTGATTCATTCATGAATGAAAAAAGTGATTATGAGTGAGCCATTTAATTATTCACTCGACTGATTTGTTAAAAAAACGGATTCATTTATGAATGACACAAGTGATTATGAGTGAGTCACTAAAACATTCATGCAACCAATTTGTTTAAAACACTGATTCATTATCAAAAAAACAAGTGATTATGAGTGAGTCATTGAGTACGTTTACATGGACAACAATATTCCGATTTTAACATGATTAAGACAATACACTGATTAAGAATCTACCATGTAAACAGAATGTTTGATTACCTTAATCCGGCTAAAGTCATACTCGAAGTAAACACAAATCGAATTAGGACATGTGGAGTATTCCTATTTTAGTCGCATTATTGAAGTGCAGTATAGACATGTACACACCTTAATCACACTATTACTGTTGTGTAGGACTTTTCGCCGCATTGTGCGTCAGGATACACAGACAGCAGAGGTCAACCGCTTGACGGCAAACAAAAGAGCGGGAACATGACGGGAATGGGAACATGAAAGGAATATTCTAAAAGCAATTCATGTAAACACCTTAATCATAATATTGTCTAATTCAGAAATTCAGCATAGCGTTAGTTCAGGCAGGCCATGTCAGTCAAGCTCGCATCAGCCAACAGTCAGCTGTTCCTGACGTGTACCAATCCAATCTTGACACCTATCACAAGCGGTCTATTTAAATTCCCATTCTTCAGCGTCTCTTCCATCGCATCACTGCTTGCAATTAACTCCCTCCTCCAACCCCAACTCCACCTAACTGAACCTGTAATTCGATCTGACTTTTGTTTCTTCCTTACAGTCACTTCATTGAAAGCATTCTCTATCACATATTGTTTACAACTCATGTAATTGTGAACTGTAATTATGTATGCATATAATGGTTCTGTTCTGTACCCTGGGGGGTTGTCTTGCTGCTCTCCCCGCTCTGTCCAAGCATGGCTGCATGGACAGGCGTGTGGAGTGTTGCCCAGAACATAACCATACCGCCAACACTAACTGTATGCAATGTAATTGTAAAAAATATACTTGACGAAAGTGGTCCTGATTGAATAAGGTAAATAATTAGATTACTGATGTCCATGTAAACTTAGTCATTGAATCATTTACTCAAGCGATTTATTCAAAACACTGATTCATTCCTGTACCGACCAAGTGATCATGAGTGAGACTTTGAATCACCCACTCAACATTTTTATTAAAAACACTGATTCATTCATGAATGAAGAAATAAGTGAGACATTGAATCATTCATTCAAATAATTTGTTGAAACCACTCATTCATTTCTGTTAGTGGATCAAAAATACACCAAGTATCCAGAATTTTTTTTTAAATAAAATGTAAGTTACTTATTGTTTATTAAACTGTTTAAAAGCAATATCACATGAGCACAGGTTTTGTTGGTTTGAACATCATTAGTGCTATTCAGTGTATCAGCACTCTTTCTATTGTGATATTGCACAGTTATTTATTCATAATCAGGCCCAGGCTTTTGCAGTCTTTTAGCAGTTTTAGTGCTGATTTTAGGGAACAATCTGCACATTTCTTGCAGATTGAATGTAAACATGTAAAAATGTATTAAACTGGCCTTGGGTGTATTACAGATAAGCATCAAATTAGCCAAATATTTAATAAACAAGTATGCAAAGGCAGAGGATATGTAAAAATTCATCAGTGACAGGTGTCTGTGGAGTTTCTGTGTGGGCCTGGTCATGATTAAATAATTATCATTAAATAGCCTACTAATTAGCAGCACCTAATGTGAAACATGAACAAGCCTCAGTTGTCAAAAATGAAGGATGAAGATCACAACAACTCGCTCTCTAAGAACGTTTCTGCTGGCACTACTTCATCCCATGTAATTAAACCAATTTATGTGACATTAATCACACTGAAAACCCCATATTTTGCTGCCAGAGTGATCGTGCTGAGCAGGAGCAATGGGGTGGCATGGCTTCATCTAAAGGCTTAAATGAAGGATCAATGCTGGAAGAGGTTTTGCGAACATATCAATGGCTTCACTGCAGTTCAGCTGAAAGTAGCTTTTTAAGCTCCCATTTAAAGCAAGACAAATTTCACAGTCTTCACAGTAAGACTCTTGATTGCGCAATACTCTGTCGGCATACATAATTAGAGTCTGTCTGTCGTCTCCTTTGGTCTGATCTATGGTATTGATTAAAAGAAGCCTCATGCTTCCCGCTTTCACACATGCGTTTAGTCTATTTGACTAAATTGCACATATATTTTGTTCTTTGTTGTTTCATATTAGGGTTTACAAAGAGAAGATGCTAATTAAAATTAGACTTTTTAATTCTGTGAGCTGCAAATGTTCATGCAAAGCCCTTAAAGTCATACAGAGCTGTGGCTTTGTCTTGCACCACTGTGTAAAATGATTAACTTGACATTTCTGTCTGTGTCCAGGGCTTCAGTGGATCAATAAGCACTTATGAATACATGACAGGCCTCAGCTCTCGATCAGCAGAGTGGTTAACTGTTTCAAATCACACTGTTTGCCCCATTACTGGCCTGACAAGAAATTAATTACTGAATGAAAGAGTGAATGAAGAAATGGTTTACCAGAAGCCTTCCTCTAGTGTGCACTGATACGCTTGATAAGTGTTGATAAGTGTGCGTGTGAGTGTGTTTGTGTCTATCACTGCTCTTACACCTGTAATAATGGGCATCACTGACACAGAGGCTATGTAATACCCTTCCTCGCTTTGTCTCCATCTCATATCATTTATCTCATATCATCCGGAGAGAGCGAGAGTTCAAATTGAAAGGCCCCCTGCAAGTTGTTCAATTATCAGAGGTAATTTACAATGAAACAACTAATAACACATGAAGCTGAATTAAATTTCCTGTTTTCTTCTGAAAGGTTAGATAGAGTGAAAGAACTAACAAAAATAATTATAAATATATGAATAATTATTAATATATGGTCACTTACTGTGACTTTATTTATTTATTTTCCTTGTTAATACTTTGCTATTATTGACTCTTTTATGCATTACTCTCAATATGAAAATGCAATAGAATTAAATATGTATTTCTTTAATTGAAATAAACCTGAAATAAAATAAAAAAGAAATATCGGCTAACAATATATTTTATTTTTTTATATTTTATTATTTAGCTGCCTAGACAATATTTCTTTTTTGTTTAGCTTTTTTTTAAGTACTAAATAACTAAAACTTAAATAAATTCAACTATAGAAATAAAACTGAAAAAATTTAATATCAAATAAATATAAATAAAAAATAAACGCTAATTCAGCATATTAATAAATACTAGTATAAATAAAAATAATATAATTGAAATGCTACCAAAATATCAATGTTGCTTACTAGCTCAGATCAGAAGAGCGAGATAATCTAAGGTATTTATATTTAATTTTATTGTTAGATAAATCATATCATTTAGAAATGCAATTAATAGCATGCATCACTCCAATGATTTAATGTGTCCTTCTTGTAGCAGAAACTATGTCAGATGAGTTATGCATCAAATTTTAATACTTAGGGCGACTGTTCAAATCACTAACCCTAAATATGGCCACTAGGAATAGCGATGCTTAGAAAACACCTCTAAAATTGAAATGAGAATCATATTTGATTGAAAGGGTGAGAAGGAGACAGGAAAGGAAATTCTAATTATATTTCTGTTTATTTGTACAGTGAAAAAGAATGCTAAAAGAACAGCTCTCGCTTTCTCTTACTCTCACATCCTCAAAAGAAAATCCCATCCTGCCTTCTTCAGTTACTTTACTTCCTCGCACTCTGCTAGCATAAAAGACACCAGGAACAGATCGAACTCGAGCAAGGTTTGAAGCTCATACATCAAACTGACAAGCATGTGACTGAAAAAAAAAACTATTATGCAGAAGGTGCCTTTAACAGCACAGGCCTGATAATGCAATCAGAAAGACACTCTTTTACAACCCACTCATTACCCCTACTGACCTCACTGTACCTATTGCATCCATTTAGACTGAGGGGTGCGAGGAAGAATACAGAGAAGTATTCAGTTTACAAGGTAAAAAAGTACAAAGGAAGTGTGAGAAAAGTGATATGTTCAATTAGATCTGATAAATGAAGATGAATGACAAATGATCACCCTGCAAAAAAAATCATTTTCTTAATTAGTAATTCTGTCATGTTTTCCATTAAAATCTTAATGCGATTAAAACAAGATAAATTTACTTGGGAAGCAAATTTGCATGAGACTTGTTTTCAGAGAATACATCTTGAGAAAATTTTTCTTGTCAAAAAAGTTAGATTTATGCATAATACAAGAACAAATGTGGGGGGAAAAAATCTTAATATATTCATCTTGTTTTTTAGGGAAATGTTTTATTGTTTTAATAATGTTAAGATAATTTGGTAACACTTTGCAATAGGGTTACATTTGTTAGCACTAATTAAAAAGAACTAACAATATAAAACTTTAAAGCATTTATTAATATATTCTGTTATTTTGGGGCGTGACTACCATTCATTTCATACAGCAGAAAAACTGTAAATATACATGCAGGCATACTTCAATTTCTGATTTCCGAAATTCTTACCATCATTGATGATCTGTTTTTCCATCGGATGAATGAATGAATGAATGGATGGATGGATGAATAATAAATAAATAAAAGGTAATTCTGACTTTTTAGCTCATAATTCTGATTTATCTCAATTCTGAGCTTATTTCTCAGTTTTTTTTAAAGAAGTCAGAATTGTGAGATAAAAAAATCAAGTCATCAAGTGCAAGATAAAATCAATATGATAAAATATATAATGATTTTATCTTGAACTTGATGACTTCTTTTTTGGTAGAGTGTGCAGTCTTTCTACCTATTCTCTTCTTTTTTTTGGGTCTTCGCACCTCCTTTGGACTATTTTGAAGATGCAGTGAGTTCCTGACTATTCTTCAAAAAAAAAAAAAATCACTATTACATTTTTTTATTCAGTGGCGGGAAAAAAAAACAATTACAACACAGAAATCTAAGAAAAAAAGTCGCAATTACCATTTTTATATTTTATTCTGTGGCAGAAACAACGAAACAGAATTGTGAGATATCAGAATTCTGAGAAAAAAGTCAAAATTGTGAGATATAAATTTGTCTGAATTTTGAAATAAAAAGTCACTTTTTACATTTTTTTATTGTGTGGTGGAAACTGACTTCCATAAATATGATCTTACAATGAACAGTTGTATTTTTATTAACTTACATTAATAAAGATGAATACTCTAACAAACGTTTTGCTTATTGTTAGTTAATGCATTAACTAACGTTAACTAATGGACCATATTGTAAAGTACGGTGGCCGAGAAGTGCAAAACAAATCACATATTTTTTACATGAAAACTAGTAAAAAAAAAAAAGACAAATAACTGAAGGGATTCGAACAATACTATAAATAAACAATTGTGTTAAGCCAGATTTTGTTCCTAAAGAAATGGAGATTGGAGTGAAAGATGCTACCCACCCGTTGTCTCCACAATACCCTCCAAGATGACGACAATCTCAAACTGCTCGTTCATGAGCGAGCGCTGGGACAGGTCGAAGAAAGGGCTCTTGGGATTGATCTCGTGGCAGATGGTGAGGGGAGAGACCAGGAAGAGTTGGTCAGCGCCTGTTCCAAAGCCCACATCCAGTTCACACTGATCCAATGGCAGGAACTCACCCTCCGGGGTCTGACGAGACTGGTGAGACACAGTGAAGTCATCATCAAAAACATCAATATCCCACACAAATTACAGCAGGAACAATCAATCTGAAAAAAAGATCATCAAGGATGGTGAGAAATGGAGATGGAAATGGAAACAGGAAATTGAAAGAAGAATGTCAGCATGTATACTTACAATTGTTCTGCTGTATACAGTGTATGGTAATCAGACCCGAAATAACAGAATATATTGAAATTGAGGGAAATATTCATGCTGTTCAGTGTGTGAGGGAAATATTCCTCTTTAGGCAAGTGGAGAGAGAGAGAGAGTTTGTGGCTGGCAAGGAGTGAATGGGGAATTCTGACAAGCATGAGTGCTCAGAACAGTGAAATAAAACACAGACGGAGCAAAGGAGGAGGCTGGGGTGAGATAAGAAAATGCTTACAAAGCTCTGTGTCATTTCAGCCGTGATTTAAGACAACAAAGAGTGTCTGTTCAGAGAGCCAGTGAAATTTAAGACCGGATGATTTACAGGGCGATGTCAAACTGAAGAAGAGAAGGAAACTCCAGCGTGAGGGTTATGTTTTTCTACACATGTGGTTTGTGTTTGTGTGTGGAAAGGCAGTGGATGAAGCTGCACGCACTAATTCTCTTCTCAAAAATGTTGCTCTGAATACCAAGTGGAAGGGAAGCACTCTTACATTCAGCGGATTTCCTCTCACTTCCAAGTCTCCATATCAACCTCTCTCAGTGCAGTGGTCTTACTGGAGCTGTTGAGGCTAAGAGCATCTCCAAAGGGCCTTACAGCTGTAGAACAGCCTCATGGGATGTAAACCAACAACCCTCAATAAATAGGCCCATTACTTAAAACACTGGAGCTCAGTGAGGCATTAAAAAACTTCCACATGGAATCATATTCCATGTAAACTACACAAAACTGGGGAAGCATTTCCAGTCTCTAAATACAGCCAAAGTGCATTCAGAGCTACAAAGGTGAAAGGAAGATAACTTAGAGTTTGGAATTGTCATTTTATTCTTCTTTCTTTCTTCTTTTGATTAACCTTCCTGTAGTTTATAATGTTTTGAAATTATTTAAATTAAATTAAATTAAATTTATTTTGTTATTAAATTTAAGTCATACAATTCAGTTTCACAACAAAATAGAATACACATGTTCACCAAGGCTGCATTTATTTGATTAAAAATACAGTAAAAATAGTAAAATTGCAAATATTTTAGTCTAAAATAACTATTTTCTATTTTAATTTATTTTAATATGTAATTTATTTCTGTCTCTACATACAGCCAAAGTGCATTAAACAAATGTGAAAGGAAGATAACTTAGAATTTAGAATTGAAATATTATTCTTCCTTCTTTTTTCTTTTGATTAACCTTCCTGTAGTTTATAATGTTTTAAAATGATTTAAATTTATTTAAATGTATTTTATTATTAAATTTAAGTCATACAATTCTGTATTATAATAAAATAGAATACACATGTTCACCAATGCTGCATTTATTTGATTAAAAAAATACAGTAAAAACTGTAAAATTACAAAATATTATTACAGTCTAAAATAACTATTTTCTATTTTAATTTATTTAAATATGTCCTTTATTCCTGTTATGGCAAAGCTGATTTTTCAGCAGTGATACAGTGTTTCAGTCTGTAATGTCACATGATCCTTCAGAAATCTGATATGCTGATTTGGTGCTCTATTATTATTTATTATTGGTACTCAATTATTAATAATGATTTTGATCTTATATATTTTTTTTGTGAAAACTATGAAACGTTTTTTTTCAGAATTCAATAAATAGAAAGTTCAATGAACAGCATTTATTTGAAATACAAACATTATTTTTTTGTCACATTTTAAATGTCTTCACACTCATTTTTTATCAATTTAATGCATCCTGGCTATCACAGGAAAAAAAATAATTTTAAATATATTAAAATAGAATACCATTTAAAATGTTCTAATTTTAGTAATATTTTACAATATTATATACTGTTTTACTGTATTTATGATCAAATAAATACAACCTTGGTGAGTATAAGAGACTTAATAATATTTATTAATGTTTGATCTTAATAATCAATCTTAATAATAGTTGATATACTATATATAAGCAGACATATTTGCATCTTTAGACATTACACAAATACAAATGAGCTAAAACTGCACACCTTTGCTAACTGACTGACAGATCTGTACATAGCTAATAGCTAATTCAAATCCATATCTGATATCAGCTGATCAGTAAACTGAAGCCAATATGGCGAGTAAGGTGAATATTTATTTAATATCATGTGATGAATCTATCGAGTTGCTAGGTGAGTTTGAACTCTGGTTGCAGGGAAGTCATGCTGGACAGGGCCTATCATTCCTACATCCAGTGCACCCAAGCAGAAAAATTTAATAGTGCTCAAACAGACAAAGTATGACATTTCTCTATCTCTCCCTTACCCCATTATTTTCTCCATCTCACTCTTATTGCTCTTTCTCTCTTGTCTTGTACTTTCTCTCGCAAACACATTCTTGGCCAGGCTAAACAATCAGAGACAGTGAGGGAAATTTCACCACAAGACGACACACAAAGATCAAACTCTGAAAATATGTCTGCTTTTCATGGCAGTATATGATAGCAGGTGTGTTTTTGTTTTTGTGCCAGACCCACTAGCCCTACATTGATCAGATGCATTGCATTGTCAGTTGACTTGATTAAGGCTTTAATGTGGAATTGATCCAGTAACGAGTAAGGCTGGTTGATCCATTGATTGGTTATATTGATTGCAGCATGAAAAATTAACACATCAACAATTAAAAACAAACTGCATATTGAGTGTTAACTGTTATTTAATTGTTCAAAGGTGATATACAGTTTTGATGATGATGTAAAACTTTATTTAACCACTTACACATACTGTACATACACATTTCTACACATACAGTAGATTCTCCTGTGCACACATTTCCACCTCAGAATGAGAGAATATAAACATACTTTTGAAATCACACCATCCCACACACACACACACACATGGATACACAACCTTCACCCACACAGAGGTTCTGGAGCAGCAGCACTAAGTGTCTCCTCAACTCTCTATCAACCCACAAGGAGCACTTCCACCGTGAAGTCGCATCACACCAACTACCTATATCCAGTGTATCCTTGCTCACACACACACACACACACATCCCTGCCAAAAATTGACGTGCCTACTGCTTTTTATTTAGTAGCACTCTTGTCTTCCATCCCCCACTATATCAGTCTAGCATTGCCTGGACTGGTTTTGCGGAGTAAATAGCTCTCCCCAAAAAAGTAGTAGCGTTAACTGGACTATTTTTTGTAGTAGTGCGTCAGTAGCTAAGTTTCTTTAAAATATGATAGCATTTACAGTAAAAAAAAGCTACTTTTGCCAAGCAGTAACGAAGCAGCATGGCAAAAATTATGTGCAATGTAATTAGTACTGGGAGGTACCATTCATTTTAGAGAAGATGCTGTTCTTTTCAACTTTCTATTCATCAAAGAATCCTAAAAAAGGATAACAGTTTTCACAAAAATATTAAGCAGCACAACGGTTTTCAAAATTGATTAAAAAAAATGTGGTAACACTTTACTTGAAGGGGTGTGCATAAGACTGACATGACACCTTCATAATCATGACATGACACATGTCATGAATATGAAGGAGGTTTTATGCATGTTTATGACAACTGTCATTAAGTGTCATTCGCTCAGTTATGTAATTTTTAATGCAAAGATGACATTGTTTGAGATGTCTTTGTTATGGGCTATGGTTAGGGGTAAGGGTAGGGGTAGGGTTAGGTTAGGGTTAGGTCAAATAATGTCATATTTGCATTAAAAATTACATAACTGAGCGAATGACACTTAATGACAGTTGTCATAAACATGCATAAAAAACCTTCATATTCATGACATGTGTCATGTCATGATTATGTAGGAGTCATGTCATGATTATGAAGGTGTCATGTCAGTCTTATGCACACCCCTTCAAGTAAAGTGTAACCAAAAAGGTTTCTTGAGCAGGATCACACTCTTAAAAATAAAGGTGCTTCAAAAGTTTCTTCAAGCGATGCCATAGAAGAACCATTTTTGGTTCCACAAAGAACCATTCAGTCAAAGGTTCTTTAAAGAACCATCTCTTTCTTACCTTTTTGTAATCTGAAGAACCTTTTTTCACCACATAGAACCTTTTGTGAAACAGAAAGGTTCTTCAGATATTAAAGGTTCTTTATGGAACCATTTAGACAAAAAGGTTCTTCTATGGCATCGTGAAGCACCTTTATTTTTAAGAGTGCATGTGACACTGAAGACTAGAGAAATTATGCTGAAAATTCAGCTTACAGGTTAATTACATGTTAAAATATTACAATAGAAAAAAGTTATTTTAAATTGTAATAATATTTCACAATATTACTGTTTTACTGTATACTTTAAATGCATTCGTGGAGAGCACGAGAGACTTCTTTAAAAAAAACTTTTGAATGGTAGTGTACGCCTACTTTTTTGTAGTTAAATGTAACTTTTTACCATGGTCTTAACTCAGGCATAGTAATTTGAGTCTCAGCTATTAATTTGTTTTTGATTTTTAATGTCACTATAAAGTTGATCACCATTTTTTTTTTGCAATAGATAAGAATTGCTCTGATTATGTAACCATTTGTATTCAACATTACTATCATAATAGTTATTTTACTTGTAGTTAGCTACAAATTAGCCATTACTTTGTGTTGTTTTTATTTTATACTTTTCTTTTTTTTTCTTTTTTTTAAATTTTTTTAAAGAAATAGTTCATGCCAGAATGAAATTTTTCATCATTTATTGATCCTCATTCCAAAGCAGTATGACTTCCTTTCTTCTGAGGAACACGAAGATATTTTGAAGAAACAGACCAAAATATCAAATTATCGGCTTTAACTTTGTTGGTAAACAATTCAAATAAAGACGTGTGGCTTCTATATTCATTTTCTTTCTTTCTTTTTTTCTTTCTGCAAATTTGGAA